CTCTTTCAGAGCTGTTAGCAATTGCCTTATGTATTGAGGTGCTCCTATGTTGGGTGCATATATAATTGTTATATCTTCTTCTTGGATTGATCCCTTGATCATTATGTAGTGTCCTTCCTTGTCTCTTGTAACATTCTTTATTTTAAAGTCTATTTTATCTGATATGAGTATTGCTACTCCAGCTTTCTTTTGATTTCCATTTGCATGGAATATCTTTTTCCATCCCCTCACTTTCAGTTTGTATGTGTCCCTAGGTCTGAAGTGGGTCTCTTGTAGACAACATATATATGGGTCTTGTTTTTGTATCCATTCAGCAAGCCTGTGTCTTTTGGTTGGAGCATGTAATCCATTCACGCTTAAGGTAGTTATCGATATGTATCTTCCTATGACCATTTCCTTAAGTGTTTTGGGTTTGTTTTTGTAGATCCTTTTCTTCTCTTGTGTTTCCCACTTAGAGAAGTTCCTTTAGCATTTGTTGTAGAGCTGGTTTGGTGGTGCTGAATTCTCTTAGCTTTTGCTTGTCTGTAAAGCTTTTGATTTCTCCAATCAAATCTGAATGAGATCTTTTCCGGGTAGAGTAATCTTGGTTGTAGGTTCTTCCCTTTCATCACTTTAAGTATATCATGCCACTCGCTTCTGGCTTGTAGAGTTTCTGCTGAGAAATCAGCTGTTAACCTTATGGGAGTTCCCTTGTATGTTATTTGTCATTTTTCCCTTGCTGCTTTCAATAATTTTTCTTTGTCTTTAATTTTTGCCAATTTGATTATTATGTGTCTCGGCGTGTTTCTCCTTGGGTTTATCCTGTATGGGACTCTCTGTGCTTCCTGGACTTGGGTGGCTATTTCCTTTTCCACGTTAGGGAAGTTTTCGACTATAATCTCTTCAAATATTTTCTCTGGTCCTTTCTCTCTCTCTTCCCCTTCTGGGACTCCTATAATGCGAATGTTGTTGCATTTAATGTTGTCCCAGAGGTCTCTTAGGCTGTCTTCATTTCTTTTCATTCTTTTTTCTTTATTCTGTTCCGCAGCAATGAATTCCACCATTCTGTCTTCCAGGTCACTTATCCGTTCTTCCGCCTCAGTTATTCTGCTATTGATTCCTTCTAGTGTAGTTTTCATTTCAGTTATTGTATTGTTCATCTCTGTTTGTTTGTTCTTTAATTCTTCTAAGTCTTTGTTAAACATTTCTTGCATCTTCTCGATCTTTGCCTCCATTCTTTTTCCGAGGTCCTGGACCATCTTCACTATCATTATTCTGAATTCTCTTTCTGGAAGGTTGCCTATCTCCACTTCATTTAGTTGTTTTTCTGGGGTTTTATCTTGTTCCTTCATCTGGTACATAGCCCTCTGCCTTTTCATCTTGTCTATCTTTCTGTGAATGTAGTTTTTGTTCCACAGGCTGCAGGATTGTAGTTCTTGATTCTGCTGTCTGCCCTCTGATGGATGAGGCTATCTAAGAGGCTTGTGCAAGTTTCCTGATGGGGGGGACTGGTGGTGGGTAGAGCTGACTGTTTCTCTCTGGAATGTATCTTTTATAGTCTTTTTTCCAAAACGAAGAGCCAATTTTCCCAAAACCATTTATTAAAGTACCCATATTTTCCCACTGATTTTAAAGAGATTTATGTATATATAGGTTTTTAGTATGCTTTGAATTCCCTGGTATATGTACGTGTGTGTACACAGAAGTGCATGCATAATGTGCATGCACACATGCATGCACACGCACGCACGCACGTACACGTGCGCACGCACGCACACACACACACACACACACACACAAGAGTTTCTAAGCCCTATGTTCCATTCCACTGATATATATTTCTGTGCCATTACAAGACTATTTTAATTCCTTTGGTTTTTAAGTTTTGATGACTGAAAAAGCAATCAACTCTTTAACATTCTTTTATATCTTCAAAAAAATATTTCAAGAGGAAAAGTAAAAACAATATATCAGGTTCCCAAAATCCACTCCCTTCCAGGATTTTGAATGGAATATAATTTTATGAAATCATTTTGGGTAAAAGCATCTCTTAAAATACTAAATCTTCATTCTGCTTCCAGTAATGGCAGAGTGGCTTATATTAGATTAACCCTCCCACGGATAACAATTATAAACTCTGGACAAAATGCAAAGTACATATTTAAAATATATTGGTAGGCACTGGAAACTGAAGAAAAAAGTAATGGGAAACTGGAGAAGGGTTGAAATTTGAAAAAAGAGAACAACTCTTGAAGGAACCTTAAGTTTATATGGCTAGTCACCTGGAAGTACTCCCCAGTACGCTGGGTGCGGGGTGCCTAGAACTTACACAGAAAGCCACAGTCTTATTGGCTTCAAAAGGAGCACAGAGTTCAAATTTGCCAGAGTACCTATAAGGTAATGGGGGAATTTTCAGATAGGAGAGAACCACATAGGAGGGAAACACCAAAATCAGTGTTAGAATTCCACTCAAATTCTTGGCTGATTCATGAACTATGTGAGCACTGGGGACACTCCAAAGGAAAGCAGAGACAAGACAGAAGAAGTAATGGAACCAAGATTTCAGATGCTGCCCACTACCAAAGAGTAAGAGTATGGGCTCTAAGTCTAGTCAAGTCAAATGCTTCCCAGAGCAAGAATCAGCACTATTCTGAGAAAGAAAACACAACCTAGAGTCTCTACAATGTATCACTATCTAGTGTACAATCAAAAAATTATTGACTTGATAACAGAAAAACATGACATATAGTCAGGAGAAAAAGCAGGCAATAGAAACTGACCCCAAGACAGCCCAGATGTTGAGATAATGTCTAATCTGAAGAAAACAATTTTTTTTAATGAACAGCAGCTCAGTGACCTATTGAACAAAATCAGGTGACTAACATGTAATTGGGGTCTCAGAAGGAGAAAAGTGAGAATGGAGCAGAAAAAAATACTTGAAGAAATAATAGCTACACATTTCTCAAAGCCATACTTAAGCACATCAGTCAATGTGCTAAGAATAAAAAATACAAGTCTTCAAAGCAGTCAGAAGAAATGACAAATTACAGACAAGGGAAAAATAATTAAAATAACAGCTGACTTATGATCAGAAACAATAGAGGTTATAATACAATGGATTGACAGTTTTAAAGGGGCAAAAGAAGAAAAGAAAAAGAAAACCTTGTAACTCGAGAATACTATACTGAGCAAAAACAGCCTTCAAAAATAAAGATGTGGGCTTCCCTGGTGGCGCAGTGGTTGAGTGTCCACCTGCCGATGCAGGGGACACGGGTTCGTGCCCCGGTCCAGGAAGATCCCACGTGCCGCAGAGCAGCTAGGCCCGTGAGCCATGGCTGCTGAGCCTGTGCTCTGCAACGGGAGAGGCCACAACAGTGAGAGGCTCGCGTACCGCAAAAAAATAAATAAATAAAAAATAAAGATGGGGCTTCCCTGGTGGCGCAGTGGTTGAGAGTCCACCTGCCAATGCAGGGGACATGGGTTCATGCCCCGGTCCGGGAAGATCCCATATGCCGCGGAGCGGCTGGGCCCGTGAGCCATGGCTGCTGAGCCTGCGAGTCCGGAGCCTGTGCTCCTCAACGGGAGAGGCCACAACAGTGAGAGGCCTGCGTACCGCAAAAATAAATAAATAAATAAATAATAAAGATGTTTTCAGGTAAATGAAACAGTAAGAATTAATGAAAGTAGACACACACTGTAAGAAATCTTAAAAGAAATGCTTCAGTCTGAAATTAGACAGGAATGAATGAACACCAAAAACGGTAAATATATGGGTTAATAGTGAAGACCATGACATAAAATTGTTTAAAGCAAAAGGTGGGTACCACTCTATGGGGTGTGTAATATACATAGGTGTACTATTGTAAGAATAGTATAAAAGACAACAGGTGGTAAATGAAACTATACTTTTGCAAAGTTCTTATACTTGTGCAATGGTACAGTATTAACTGTAAGTTGACTATGATAAGTTAAGAAGGCTATTATAATCACTAGAGCAAACACTTAAAAAAATTAAAGAGGGCTATAGCTAAGAAAACAATGGAAGGATTCCACTGGAACACATATACATATTTTTTTTTTATTTAAAGCAAAAGAAGGCAGAAAAATAAGGGGGGGGACAAATAAGGCAAAGGAAAAAAGCAAAATGGTACTCACAAGTGCAAACATATTAACTGTCACACTGAGTAAAGAAGCAAGACCAAATTAAGCATGTTTACAAAAAATGCAAATTAAATACAAAAACAAAGATAGGTTTAAAGTAAAAGAATATATGCCATGCAAATACTAATTATAAAAAAGCATGAGTAGCTTTATTAATATCAGACAAAACAGATTTCAAGACAAGGAATATTATAAGGAGTTACATAGGAACATTTTATAATGATGAAAGATTAATTCATTAGGAAGATAAAACAATTAAAATATATATAAGCCCAATAATAGAGGTTCTAAATATACAAAGCAAATACTGACAGAACTAAAGGGAGAAATGGATGACTCCAGAATCAAAGCTGAAGATTTTTAACTCTGTGAGTAAAGGATAGGACAGCTAGATAAAAATCAGTAAGGATATAGAAGATGTGAATGACACTATGGTCCACTTTAATTGAACATCTGAATCACTGCAGAACTTCATTGGAGCAGTGATGTTCTAGAGTCTGGACCAAAGACATACCTGTACATACCTGTCATTTTAAATTTATAAATTGTTTTTAGGAGAGAGAAACTAAGATTATCTAATCAGAAATTATGTAAGTACTTTTCTTTACAGCTATTTTTCTTTTAAAACTGCATTTAAACTTAAATTGTGTTGTCCTATGGCATTGAATACACCTCAGTAAGCCAAAAATCAAGTGCACTTTTACCAACACGAAATTTTAAAAAACATAGTCATACTGACTGAGAACTTTGAAGTACAAAATGGTACATAGTACAAGAATCACTTAGAAACCACAAGAACGTGGTCAAAAAGGTACAAACCCTGTTAAAATATTTTTTATAAATCTTAATTTTTAACTTACTTATATATTTGGTAACTTGTTCTAATTTTGAGTCCACCTTTGATGAAGTTGATCATATTTTCATCCTGAAAACAATTAAATAATTAGATCATTTAGCAAAAGATTCTTAAACTGTCCCCATAGCTGTGTAGCTGCGTGATTAGAACAAAACACTATCTTTTGAGGATATGATTTTTAAATTAAACCATTCTTCTTGCTTTACATCTGAAATGCTTTTTTGTCATTTTTCTTCCAAGTTAGAGGACAACAAAAAGGAAACATTTCTTAAATCCTTGCATTACTTTAAGGAAGTAAGGAAGTAATCCTCATCAATTTGGGGCCATAAAGGTTAGTCCAAACGTACTTCAATAAACATCATGAACTACTGAGCAACTTTCTTCTGGGTTCAATGGAATTCAAAATGGCTGACTTTAAGGATATGCTCCAAGGACTTTCCTGTCTGTCTTACTCCAAGTAATGGGATTATGGTTCTTCTTTAGGGGGGACTTTAGCAGGCAGTCTATTTAACATTGTGAATTTCATTCATATACATTTCCAGACCACAGATAACTGATTTGGATTGTAAAGTTGTTGTCACTTATATGAAATACTGTTTAGGGGAAAAGAGATCACTTCTCTTTGCCTGATGGTCATCACCCATAAAACTGGGTCAGCTGGCCTAAATGAATTACCTTTTTAGGGTGAGTATTCTAGGATTCCAAGAGTCTCCTATTAAAGCATATCAAATAACTGCTTGAGGGCTTCCCTGGTGGGGCAGTGGTTGAGAGTCCACCTACCAATGCAGGGGTCACAGGTTCGTGCCCCGGTCCAGGAGGATCCCACATGCTGCGGAGCGGCTGGGCCCGTGAGCCATGGCCACTGAGCCTGCGCGTCTGGAGCCTATGCTCCGCAACGGGAGAGGCCACAGCAGTGAGAGGCCCACGTACCGCAAAAAATAATAATAATAAAAATTAAAAAATAATAACTGCTTGGAAGATGTTACTCTAATAGAAGGTGCTAATGGAGATACTCCCACGCTTTTCTAGTCCGTTAATATCAGAAAGATGCTCTGGTATTGATTTCCTGTGCACTTGAGCATCCTTCCAAAACAAAAGAAGAACTAATTTTAGTTTGTTAATGTCATCAGTTACTTAAATACTTAATCTTTAAAGTATTAAAAGAATCAATAAATGTAAAATTCACTATGCAATTTAAATGTTTATTTTCTGATTTTAAGGAATCTTATGGTTACACAAGTTCGAATACTGGCCAGGAAAGAATTTCTTCAATTGGATTCAAATCTGCCTCAAATAAGAATATTTCATTTCAGAATTCACCAAACATTTGCTGAATGCCTATTTTACAGCAGGCACCCAAACACAAAATCAGACAAAAGCAACACAACTCGCTAAGGGATGAAGACATGCATGGATGGAGACATGTGGGGGATGTCATGACAGCACAAAGGTGGGCGGGGATGTGAAGAGGTCCACAAAAGCCTCCTGGAAGCATCAATGCTTAAAGCACACACATACACACACACACACAAAAAAGATTGGGAAGTAACCAGCTGAAGGAAGGAAGGCAAGGTAGGTATGAACTTTGCAAGCAAAAAAAAAAACCCTCAGGGAAGCATTCAAGACCCTGGTGTGCTTGGCTTGGCCATCTGTGCGTATATAACTCAGTACTGCTGCAGAAACCTACTGCAAAAAAGGGAATGACTAAGGAATAAGAAAGCTACCTGTGCTGTACCTGTGCCACTCAAGTATGCAACATACCTGCCAGTAGCAGTTGAGGACATTGGTAAGAGGGGAGTAGGGAACTGGTGGGGAGATACCAGTTTGGTTAGAAAAAGCCTTCCCCATGTGTGATATTCTGATACAGAACCACTGCCATAGTCAATGAGGGCTACTAAATGCTGAAGCAGAGACATGCCCAGGTGAAATTCTCATCTTTGAGAGGGTGCACAATTGCACAATGGAGAGTGAGCTGGAGGGAAGAGAAACTACAGACCGAAGGTCCCTGGGTTGCCATGCAGTCTAGGGAAGAGCTGACAAGCCCCCCACTAGAACAATTGTAGTCAGAATAAAGAGGAAGAGACGGAGCTGATAAACCTTGAAAAGGTAAAAGCAGCACGACCACGAGCCTGGCTGGATACAGAGGCATGAGGAAGAGGGGAACCATGGATATCTCCCAGATGTTGAACTACAAGCCCCCCAGACATAAAAAACAAAAAATTTTCAAATCAATGATTTTATTATCAAATTATCATTTGAAAAACACATCAGAAAAAACTGGGGGCCTCCGTGACTAGCCTTATGTTTACTGAGGCAGTAAGACTGTTGTTTTCAACCAGCCGTCATAATAGGTGGGGTTTTAGGAAACAGGGCCCTACACCAGATTGACTTAATTTTACTTAACCAGAATCCAACCTAAGAGGTCACCCTCCAGAAAAAGAGAAAAGCAACTCTCAATTCAATGTAAATCATTGAGATTGAGGAAGATTTTCCAACTTACAGTTGAATTTCTGCCCCCTTACAATCTCCACCCCACTTCTACCCCACTTGTATCCATCACCGCCACCTGTGTGGCCACCATGTTAAAATCCATATTTTTTAGAAGAACTGGAAGCTACAATGACAGGCAAGGTACTGATGGTAACAATTCCGGGAGGTGAAATTTAAATGCCCCATGAGAAAAGGAGTCATTGTTTTGTTTAGTGACTTTTTTTAACTGCTCTTCCAAAATAAGAAATAAAAGAAAGGGGAATGAAAATACAAAGAGCGGGGAAATAAAATCTGAGGTATACATGGGAAGTTTGGCTCTCGACGCATGCATAACTAAGCTTTGCTGAAGCATCTGATGCAAGAAGGGAACAGCCAAGGATGCTGAAGCCTCCTCCAGCCGGTCACTCCTGTGTGCAGCCCTCCACCATTAGCAAGCACGAAGAGGGATAACCTCACAGTTCTCATACAGAGCAGCATCCTGAAATTAGGTGAGGTAGTTGCAAGACAGCTTCTTCAAAAGGCAGTGGTTGCCAATAAAGCGAAGTTCAAAACAGAATTTTAAGTGCATTTGAGTAGGAAAAAAAAAAAAACCCAGGGTCTTCTTTCAGCCAAAGTTTATCAGTAATAACAAATATCTTTCACTACGACTCTAAGTCAAAAGAACTGAAGCACTGACATAGAATGAGCCACATTTCTTCTATGTCGTACTTGGCAGGCTTCCCGGGCGACGCTGATTCTAAGCCAAATGTTCATTACCTGCACAAACGTGAGGGCTGCTTTCTGTAGGAGGCACTCGGCATAACAGATTTCGGCATGCATTTCCTCTATTAAAGACAAATAAAAATATATTAAGGAAAATCCCATATCCACAGTAACTGCTCTGAGATGTTCAGAAAAGACGGGTAGATAAATGAGCCCAAGGGAGACAATAAAAACCTAGGTTGCTTTGGTGCTTCCATAAAAGTGGAATGCTGACCTCAGTTCTCAGGCCCTCAGCAAGAATTTTCCAGAATGCATGAAATGCTTTGGGGAAGTTATCTTTGGCTCCATTCACATATAACTGCCAAGAGTCAGGCCCCTGGTGTCAAAGGCCCAAACTCAGCTCACCAAAATGTAAAAACCAAAATGTAAAAGCACTTCTTGGAAAAAAGGAAACCACTTATCTTTTAACTTAACGGGAACAGGCAAGTTTAACACAGTTATAGATTGGAAATCTAACTTAAATATACTAATTCTACCTTCTAAAACATGAAGGCATGATAGTCATGACAATGGTTAGGCATGCTATTAACTTGAAGAGAAAGCAGTAATTCCCTAGGGTTCTGGGAAAAAGAACTGGCCTGCATGCCCAACTCATGACTCCTCATTCAGGGAAGACTTGATGTAAAAAAGTTCACACTAGCACAGTTTGGGGCTATTTGGATCACTGAGATATCTAGTGCAGGAACAAGGCACTCACAAAAGGGCTACATAAAACTACGTATGTATCCCTGGGACACGTGGAGTGCCCCCAAAACATGTGGCCTATCCATGATACCTGCAGAGATCGGGGAGGGAGAAATCTTTGCATTTTCTTTTTTTTTTTTTTTTTTTGCATAAACAAAATCAGCAGATTCCCGTTTTATCCATGGGATGCAAACTGGTGTGTTATTTAAGTAAATGAGCTTTGGGGTATTTCACGGCCTAGGTGGCAGGGAAGGCCCTGCCACGTACTAGTTGTAGAACCTCGAGCAAGCTACCCTCCCTCTCTCTGCTGGTTTCTTTGTTCCTAAAGTCCAGCTAATGACATCTCTACTTCAGAGCAGAAGAATTCAACCAGGTGCTGCCTGTGAAGCTCACTGAGCAGAGTAAGCCCTCAATATGCGTCAGCTACTTTCACTAAGATTACTGCCCTTGGTCCATGTCACGCTTTTTGCCAAAATTTCAGAAAGTAGAACATCTTTATGTGATGTAAGTGACTGAAAAACGGGGTATCTCTGTGTTAATGGGAACATTGTTGAATCTAACTGGATAAGAACTAGTGCTTTATTGCTTTCACTTACACACACAGGACCCCTCCCGACCACACACACTCACATACACACACACACACACTCACACACACACACACACACACACACACACTACTAGTTCTCACAAACAGGTTCGCCTTCCTGCCACGCTCATATTCCAAAGGCTGATTTACAAAGAAGCAACAATGCAACTAAGATCTTCCAACAGCACGCATAAGATGGGGCCAGACGCACAACAGGCCAAAGTGGAGGAGCTGCGGCCCCCGCGCAGTCTGGCAGCATCAGCAGCCACAGTCTCCGTCCTTCGGAACACCTCACCTCCACGTGTGCCCCTGAATTTTCTCCGTGTGTTCAGTGGGAGAAAAACTGGTAACTTTTATTTTTACAGACTCACTTGAATATCCTCCTTCCAGGGAAACTTGTAACAAAGTGGGAATTGTTAGTAATTATTCACTTTGAAAGCCTGCTCAGTAACCCAGATGGCTGGCTTGGGGCCTGTGCCAAGAAGGCAGGGAAGCGGCTGCTGGGAGAGAAGCAACATGAGCAAAGGCAAGGAGCACGGAGCCCTGCGTGGCAAGTCCAGCGGTGCACCTTTGGCTGAAGCGCGAGGTGGGTACAGGGACGAGTGGGCAATGGGCCTGGAAATGTAAGTCGGGGCTGAATTATGGACGACCTTGAATATCAGAGTGTGGGCTTCATTTGGTAGACAACGGTGAGTCCTTGCAGACATCTGAGCAGAAGGGCAGATGGATCAGAGTTAAGCTAAAGATGGACAAGGCAAAGAGCAGCACAAACGACGTAACAAGAAGCCAGAGATAAAAGGGAAGAAAGTTTGAACTCTGTATTCTGCGCGTAAGGAATCTTCATATGAAATTCCTTGCACATCCTAAGCACTGTATATAAACATCGGTTTTTAAAGCAATTTGAAAGCCATTTAGGGCAATATGCCAGCCATGAGGAAGGAAGAATGGGTGTGTCCCATGTTAAACCCACAAAAAGTTTAATTAAATATCCTCACTCCTGTAGAAAACCAGCCATTCAAGGATGGAAATGGAAATTACCAAGAGGAAAAACAAAGTGCACCCTAAATCCACAATGTTTTGACATGCTCCCTTGAACACAAAGTCTGTTTGGGTTGCAGCAACAGCCAAACTCATTAGGAATAAATGCAATTTAATTTATAAAAGTCTTATTTCTTCACTCTGATTGATTTATATTGGGCAGCCCTTAGCTCTCAAAATTAGACATTTGGCATTTACAATAGGTACCTACCAGAACATCTTTTAATTATAAATTCCTCAGTTCACTGAAGGAAATATCTTCATTATGCACTGAAGTGTCAGCTAAGCATGCCTTCAGACATAAAAGTCTAAATAAACCTTATTTCAGAATAGGTTCAAGTCACAGCCTGATTTATTTTCATAATTTTTCAATTAAGACCTTATTTTTTAAGAGCAGTTTTAGGTTCACAGAAAAATTGAGGGGAAGGTACAGAGATTTCCCATATATCCCTTTCCCCCCAAACACGCATAACCTCTCCCATTATCAACATGCCCTCCAAAGTGGTACATTTGTTACAATTGACAAACCTCCACTGACACATCATAATTACCCAAAGTCCGCAGTTTACATTAGCGTTCACTCTTGGTGTTGCACATTCTATGGGTTTGGACAAATGTATAATGACATGTATCTATCATTATGGTATCAGTATTTTTCACTGCCCTAAAAATTCTCTGTGTTCCACCTATTCATCCCCTGGCAACCATTGACCTTTTTCCTGTCTCCATAGTTTTGCCTTTTCCAGAATCTTATATGCTTGGAATCATACAGTAGGTTGCCTTTTCAGATTGGTGTCTTTCACTTAGGAATATGCATTTAAGGCTCCTACACGTCTTTTCATGGCTTGATAGCTCATTTCTTTTTAGCACTGAATAATATTCCACTGTGTGGATGTACCACACTTTATTATTTATCCATTTACCTATTGAAGGACAAGTTCTGAATAAAGCTGCCATAAACATTCATTTGCAGATTTTGGGGTTAACACAAGTTTTCAGCTCCTAGTTTTGTAAGAAACTGTCATACTATCTTCCAAAGTGGCTGTACCATTTGCATTCCCACCAGCCATGAATGAGAGTTCCTGTTCCTCCACATCCTCACCAACATTTGGTGTTGTCAGTGTTCCAGATTTTGGACACTCTCATAGGTGTGTAGTGGTATCTCATTGCTGTTTATTTTTCAATACTTCTAAATATGCCACGCCCAAAGACACAATAAAAAGATAAGAACAGTACCATCTATTTTCAAGATGTCTGACACAGAAATAATTCAACATTTCCTTCATCCATATGTGACACATTTCGTGCCCTTTTCTACCCAACTACAGGAGAAGGTGTGGGGTTATGTGGCTTAGGGAAAGGCAGATCGGGTTTGAACTCTGCTCTGCTAAGCAAGTAATCTTGGACCATTTGTCTAATCTCTCTGAACATCACTTTCTAGTCTATAAAAAGGAGGTTACACAGGTTAGATTGGACAATGCTAAGGAAAGCATCAAGGACAGTGTCTCACACATAGAGAGTGCCTTTAAAAAATAGGGCATTGGGCTTCTTTGGTGGCGCAGTGGTTGAGAGTCCACCTGCCGATGCAGGGGACACAGGTTCGTGCCCCGGTCCGGGAAGATCCCACATGCCACAGAGCGGCTGGGCCCGTGAGCCATGGCTGCTGAGCCTGCAGGTCCGGAGCCTGTGCTCCACAACGGGAGAGGCCACAACAGTGAGAGGCCCGTGTACGGCAAAAAAAAAAAAAAAAAAATAGGGCATTATCATTATTATGTTTTAAGTTATTATTATTATTCATATTTATACCAATAATACCATGCCATTCTTTTGTAAACTAAGGTTAAAAAAGAATCTCAAATGCCAGGCTTTATATTGCAAAGAAAAAGGGAGGCAGGGGGAAATGGGCCACTGGAGAGAAGCCATAGAGAGGAAAACAGAAGAATATAAATGAGTCAAATTTCTTTGGGGCCCATTTAATTTCCCACTGACCTACTTTAGTGGACTTTAGGTCTCCTGGGGCCAATTTACATAAATGGCCCTAAGGTGAAAAATATGAAAACACAGTCTATCTGAAATCAAGGAGATAAATAAACTCTTAAGGGTCCTTGGAGGTCAGTTTCTGGAGAAAAAGATGATTTGCTTCAGCTGCCTGGAGGAACCAGTGAAATCTACTCTGCTGTATGACAGCTGCAGGGCCAGCATCATACCTTTTGGAACAAGTCTTGTAATCCTCTGTTATCAACACTCTAGTGAGCCCAAGTTCTCCAATGTCCATAACAAGTTGATAATACTCTTCTAACAAAGCAAACAAAACTTCATAATGAAACACACTCAAAAATGTGTCTGGCACACACTTGACCACTAGGAATGACAGACAGATGTATCCAGAATTGCTCCTGCCTTAATCGGCTACAGCTACTTTAACGATTTTGTGTTACCTCTTCCACAGAACAAATTTGACAATGACAACACAGGCACAAATGCTCCTTGGACGGCAGAAGCTTTACTCTACAATGGCCTCATTTGAAAGATGTTATTTTCTCTTCTACAGGTGTACTGGGATGCTCCTTTCTTATAAACCATCCTGACTAGAGAATAACACTAATAAAACAGGGCTGATCATAGAACTTCTGCCCTAGTCTCTGTGGAATATCAAGCAATTGACAGCAAAAGGAGTCATTTCCTCCCAGCCATCTGATCAAATGCTGCAGACATTCCTGGATTCTTGAATATTCCTAAATGTCCACAAACCAAACATCTTCCATACTGTGAAACATCATCATTATTTTAAAGGTATCAAAATTACTTTGACCTTGAGGAAAAAATTAATAGCTTGCGGAAAAATAGAAACTTTTGTACATGGGTGGTAAGAATAGAAACTGACCTAATATTTTGGAGAAAAAACTGTCAATATCTATAAATGTTTTCTATTTTCAAATAGTCCCAGTAATTCCACTTCTAGCAATCTATCCTATGAAATACTTACAAAAATGCATGAAGGCATTATTTGTAATAGCGAAAAAAACAATGTAACTGCCCTTCAATAGAGACAAAGTAAGTAACTGGTGGCACCTGTCCTAAGGAATACTAAATAGCTATTAAATAGAATGAAGTACAATTTATACGTCTTGACATGGAAAAAGTCAATTGCCAAAAATTACATTGTAGCCTAACATGTACCACATGATTCTACATTAGCAAAAAAATGAAAAACTACAAAAATCCTATGTGTACCTTCTGTATATATTTGTACATGTACACAGAAAAGTCTGCAAGGCTTGAAAACCAACTATTAACAGTGGTTACTTCTAGAGGGTGAGTATTATGGGGAGGAGAAAAAGACATTCCATTTACTTTATATTATACACTTAAGTGTTGAATTTTATGAGCATGACCACATTTTAGTTTTTCAAAGAAAGGAAAAAAACCTTTTAAAGGCCTCTTACCTTCAGTCAGCTGTTCCAATGATCCTCTAGAAAGAAGACTTGAGAAAGATTCTACGACTGTGCATTTTTTCCTGTATCTGCAGAGAATAAGTAGAAGGGGAGATGGGAAGTAGAAAGAAAAAAATAACAATAATCAAGCTCATTTTCATTTGACATTCATTTCAGTCACAATCACACCAAAGAGTCACCAAAACAGAACTCTAAACCCTAAAATCTCTGGGGCACAGACCACCCTTTTGAACCCTGCACACCCAGCTCCCAGCACTGGCATCCTGTGGGCATTTAACCCAAGCTTACTGAAAAAGTGCATGGACAAACATACACATAACAGTCAATACTAACCCTGTCATGCACCTTCCCTGATCTCTATGGCTAAAATCAGTATTTCTGTTGTTAAGGGTCACCTCGCCACGGGTTAAGAATGGAGTTAGAGTGCAGTGTTTGGAAACTCTCTTCCCTTGAGGGGCCGGAAACATAATTACAAGAGGACATAATTTCAGCAATGTTAAAATTCACCAATGCTAGTTAACAGCTTTTGCTAGGAGCTTCCTATACACACAAAGATTAAAATAAAACTGAAATTCCATGTCATTTACACCAAGCAAAAGTGTTTAAATATGTCTATTTAGACAAATAAAAGACTCCCTTCTGACTTCGCAGCATTTCCCACATAAAAGAAGAATGCTCCTTGCTTGGCCTGGCTTGGCATGTGGTACCTAAAGGCTCCACCAGGGGGACCCCGAGAGATGCTTGCTGCTAATCCCACTGAAATCCTCAGCCCTTCTCGGTAGTTCAAGTACCAACGAGAAAAGTGGAAGATACAGATGCCACGTGTTCCGCCATCCCAGCATCCTACTATAATTCTTTAGTGGAAATATTTTTATCTCCCGTACATAAAACTACATGAGACCAGGAACCTGTGATGCTCAAGTCCTTTTCTATAACCGTGGCCAACTTCCAACAGAGCTCTCTGTCAGGCTAAGTGCATCCATTTTGTCACACAGACAGAAAGGCTTGTAGGCGTGTCTCAAGTATTTAATTACTCAGCTCATACTTTTGGCAAGTTTGTAAGGCGTCCTTCATGGCAGAAATGCCATTTTGGATGTCCTGTTGCTCGAAGGTCATGACGGCCTGCAGCACCACAATGGTACTGTAGCCCAAGGCATGGTACATGCTGTCCTTAGCCCTGGGGAGAACACGGAAATTACTACATTTCAATTCAACTGAAAAGCATTCAGGTCTCATCTGAAACTAATCACAAGAAATTCTAGTAAACCCATGACGTGACTTTCACAGTAACGACTTTTACTCCTTCACCATGATCACTGAAATAATATGGACTATGAAAGACATGCCCTAAAGAACTCAAACTCTGAGGACTTTCCAATTCAAGCCCACGCAGGCATCACAAAACTTTCCAGGTTGAAGCAGAGTGCGGCATATGCTGTTCCCTGTTTGAGCACAAGGGGGCAGCCTGCCGACTCATTTCCTAGAAAATGTTTCAAAGCAAACCCAGTTTTTCCCAGTTGTACAAGAAGCAGTGTACCGCCTTTTGCTCTGAAATAAGTGCTAAAATAAAGGCCACTGGAAACATAGTTTGTGACAGAGAAATTCTGATATGTTTTTTGAAAGGTAAGTCTTGTTTAAAATCATCCCCTCCCTTCTCCCAGCCAGAGGCCACGAGGAGGCAAGATTTTTGCAATAAGTTAGGTCACCCACAAAGGGCCCAGACAAAAATTCATGGTAGATCTCTTACCAAATCTAATCCCATTATCTGGGAATCCTGATTAAAGTTCTGGATAATTCAAATTATCAAGTTATCCGTTCGATTCTTAAGGACATTCAGTCTGAATGGATGGCACATCCCAGACTCTCAGGCTATGAAAACCTCACCATCTCTTTCCTCAAAACTTCTTAAGCTATGTTAATTAGTTATTTATAAGATCTACAATATTAATGCATGGTTTTATTTTTAATTCAAATACATTTTTAAAATACTTTTTTTTTTTTTTTTTTTTTGTTGCTCTGCAAAACAAATCAAGCCACAGTATACTTTCCCCCCAAGAAACAGTCTAAACATCCTTTGGTAATTTGCAGTTAGTCCCAAACAGTGAGGGCACTGGCTATTCAAAATAAGAAAAAAGAAAGAAAAAAAAGGAATAAGAGGAGCCCAAAGTGAATCAGCAATTGTGGTTTTAAACCTCACATTTAAAAACAAATTTTTTTAATTGAAGTGTAGTTGATTTACAATATTATATAAACCCCACATTTTAAACCAAAAGCTTCTCCAAGGGGAAAAAGAAGTATTCAAGTGGGAAAAACATATGTTTAACAGTGAAACATGCATAAAGATCAGAGAATATAAAACTTGACTAAGTGTAAGACTGTCATTTATTTTCATTCCATATTATGACCAGCTGGGTGTCAGTGAAGAAGAAAAAATGGAGACTTTTTGAATAAAAAACAAAGGAGACAGGCAGGCAGATTGAGAGAGGAGAGACAAGGAGAGAACAACAGGCAGAGAGAGAAAGAGAGGGAGGGAGAGAGGAAGACAGAGGGATATAGAGACAGAAGATGAAGAGACAGACAGACAGACAGAGAGGTCTGAAGGACTAAGAAGGACAGAAGGAAAAAGTCAGATACAGGCAAGGTAGAGCAGCGGTCCCCAACCTTTTTGGCACCAGGGACTAGTTTCATGGAAGACGATTTTTCCATGAACAAAAGGGGTTGGGGTGGAGGGGTTTCTGGATGATTCAAGCACATGGATTTATTATGCTCTCTGTGCAGTCAAACCTCTCTGCTAATGACAATCTGTATTTGCAGCTGCTCCCCAGTGCTAGCATCACCCCTGAGCTCTACCTCAGATCATGAGGCATTAGATTCTCATAAGGAGCACGCAACCTAGATCCCTCACATGCGCAGTTCACAGTAGGGTTCGCGCTCCTATGAGAATCTAATGCCACCACTGACCTAACAGGAAGCAGAGCTCAGGCGGTGATAAGAGCAATGGGGAGTGGCTGTAAATGCAGATGAAGCTTCACTTTCTCACCCGCCACTCACCTCCTGCTGTGCGGCCCAGTTCCTAACACGCCACGGACCAGTACCTGTCTGTGGCCGGGGGGTTGGGAACCCCTGAGGTAGAGGATGTGAGACAAGCATTGGGTGGAGACAGCCCTGGGCAATTTCCGTAGGCCGGGGACTTCACCATCTATTTTATCATCTGTTCTTAACCTCTGAAATGCTAACTGATCGCAGTTCTTCTAAGTCTGAGAATTACCACAGCCTCAGTAGGCACATTAATTTCTAAGATTCAAAGGCAATGACCAGAGTCACATCACCCTGCTCACCCTACAGACTCCTCAAAGGAATGAGAGTCCCACTCTGTGCCCACATAACTGTCTTGAAATTATTATCTGAGGTCTAAGCTTCATCCAAGTAAGACACTGTGTTTGGAGGCACAAGGTAAGATTATTCCTGCCGAGCTCTAGTCACACTGTACAGGTGGACACTGGAGTCAAAGTGAGGCCTAGTAAGAAGACTAAGCATAGGTTCTGCTGCCACATCATCAGAATTAACAGGTACTATTAATTGAAATGAAACTGCCTAAGTGATTTATCACATAAATAGGGAGTCCCAGTAAGATTTTTATTATCTTAAATTTCTTTTTAGCATCTGAGATTACCATATTTTAGTTCTTCCCACACCCATTTCTTTTTTTTTTTAAATTTATTTATCTTATTTATTTATTTTTGGCTGCATTGGGTCTTCGTTGCTGGGCACAGGCTTTTCTCTAGTTGTGGTTAAGCAGGGGCTACTCTTTGTTGTGGTGTGCATGCCTCTCATTGTAGTGGCTTCTCTTGTTGCAGAGCACAGGCTCTAGGCGCACGGACTCAGTAGTTGTGGCTCCTGGGCTCTAGAGCGCAGGCTCAGTAGTTGTGGCTCACAGGTTTATTTGCTCCGCGGCATGTGGGATCTTCCCAGACAAGGGATCAAACCCGTGTCCCCTACACTGGCAGGTGGATTCTTAACCACTGCACCACCAGGGACGTCCACCCATGCCCATTTCAAAAGAAACTTTTCTCAATGATATTTAAGTTTCAGAGGAATATCCATAAAAATATTTCACTGAAGAAAGCCAAATGAAGCTCTGTGAAACTAATAAGATGACACTATTTGAACAAGTATAGAAATTAAGATAGGAGAAAGAATCAGAAATGCTCTAGTAATTAAAGTTGAAAAGACAGATTTCTTAACTGGATATTAAAACTAATCAACATTTAGGGGTCTCAACCAAATTAGTTTATAAATATTCAGGAGGAAGTGCAGAAAAATTAACTGACAAGAATGACATCAGAGACAGAATCATCAAAAGCATCCAAAAAAATATATTTTATCTAAAATAAATAAAGTTAATTACCATGGTCGAAGCAATTCTAAGGCATCTGTAAATTTGTTACTTAGAAATAAGTTCAGTGCCATTGCACATTCTTCCAGGCCACTCCTGAGATCCACCTTGGTTGACAGTGACCTAAAAATCAAGAAAAAAATACACAGAATTTCTGCAGTTTTTACTTTTAGCAAGTTGTCACAGGGAGTGTGTGTGTGTGTGTGTGTGTGTGTGTGTGTGTGCGCACGCGCGCATGCGCGTGTGTACACTTTGGAGACAGAAGGACAGGCTGGAATTCTAACTCTGTCACTTACTAGCTGTGTCTCTAACCTCTGGGAACTTGACTTTCTCATCTGTAAAATGGGAACGCCACCAACTACTTCATGGGGCTGTTTTGAAGATGGAACAAATTGACAAATAATGCTCATAGCAGGCACTTAGTAAATGACAGTCCCCCCATCACTCCGAAGATCACAAGTGTAGGAACTACATCTTTTCATGAGTGGGAGCAGAGGTTATTTTGTTTTAGTTTGATTATGTAGGGGTAAGAATGTATGTTAGTGGAAAACTGCATTGTCTAAAATCTAAAGAAGACCCTGCCAGGTTATTTGTTTTTGATTCCACAGGAACTATCTTACAGCTCTGTAAATTGTACGTAACTGATATCAATACAAAATAACTGTTATCTATAGACACGTGTTAAAAAAGAGACAACAGGCCCAGTCATCAAAAAAATCTACAAACAATAAATGCTGGAGAGGGTGTGGAGAAAAGGGAACCCTCTTGCACTGTTGGTGGGAATGTAAATTGATACAGCCACTATGGAGAACAGTATGGAGGTTCCTTAAAAAACTAAAAATAGAACTACCATATGACCCAGCGATCCCACTACTGGGCATATACCCTGAGAAGACCATAATTCAAAGAGTCATGTACCACAATGTTCATTGCAGTTCTGTTTACAATAGCCAGGAAAGCAACCTAAGTGTCCATCGACAGATGAATGGATAAAGAAGATGTGGCACATATATACAATGGAATATTACTCAGCCATAAAAAGAAACAAAATTGAGTTATTTGTAGTGAGGCGGATGGACCTAGAGTCTGTCATACAGAGTGAAGTAAGTCAGAAAGAGAAAAACAAATACCATATGCTAACACATATATATGGAATCTAAAAAAAAAAGGGTCATGAAGAACCTAGGGGCAAGACAGGAATAAAGACAGACCTACTAGAGAATGGACTTGAGGATACAGGGAAGACACAGACCAACTAGAGAATGGACTTGAGGATGCAGGGAGGGGGAAGGGTAAGCTGGGACAAAGTGAGTGGCGTGGACATATATACACTACCAAACGTAAAACAGATAGCTAGTGGGAAGCAGCCGCATAGCACAGGGAGATTAGCTCGGGGCTTTGTTACCACCTAGAAGGGTGGGATAGGGAGGGTGGGAGGGAGACGCAAGAGGGAAGAGATATGGGGATATATGTATATGTATAGCTGATTCACTTTGTTATACAGCAGAAAGTAACACACCATTGTAAAGCAATTATACTCCAATAAAGATGTTAAAAGAAAAGAGACAACAGGCGCAAAATGGAGTCATTTATGCTAAGCCCCACCAGGACTTAAAGCTAACCTAATTACAGTTCCAACCTTCTCCAAGAATGTGACCTATAACCAGCCAACCTGGAATTTCCTGAACAGCACTTGGAAATCCACTGATAGACCCCTTCCACTCCCCTTAGGAGGGCAACCTAGCCTAAAACAATGCATTCTTTGCTATTAATTTCCTCTTTCCCCTCCTTCTTCTCTGCCTTGAAAAACCTTTCCTTTCCTGCAGCCTGAAGGAGCTCCTTTCTTATTGCTAGATGGGATGCTGCCCAATTCACAAAGAGTTTAATAAAGACAATTAGATCTTCAAATTTAGTCAGTTGAACTTGTTACTTAACACAAGTAAATTCTGTCCTGGCCTTCAATCGACTTCCCTCCTCCACTGTGGAAGAAGCTAGTTTCGCCTGAATTTGCACATTCATTTCAACATTCCTTTACTCCATATAAATTTGTGCTGTTTTGATATCTCCTTCAAATCTGTTTTAACATCTGCCTAGTTCTCTCCCTGATTAATGAGTTAAGTAAAATTTTTAACATCTGTTCATTTTTACATCTGTATGAGTCATGATTTTACCCTTTTTTGAAACTCATGTTAATTATTTATGATTGATAGAAATTCTGCCCTTTAAAATAAGAGCCATCTGTAAAATGTTTTGTGTAACAACATTTAACAAGAAAGTATGTCAGTAAGGAAATAAGCAGTACAATGATTCATTTCAAAGTGCTGAAAGTTGAATTTCTGTGCCACCATCCTCTCCATATTCATTTTTTAAGCAGGAAAACAAAAATCCCACTTCAGTTACTCATCTTCCAGAAGTGGGTTCTGAAGGTGCTGCAGGGAACCACCCACCCTCTGCCCCTAGGTCTTCTCATGGCTGGTTCCTTCTTGTTATTCAGATATCAGCTCAAAAAGCACCAACTCAAGACCTGCCTCGCTGACCTCAGCCCAACCTCTCTCATTGTTTTGTCTGCTCTATACCACTTATTACCATCCAAAATATCTTGTGCCTATATTTGTGGACCTGTTTGTCTTTGGCTATCTTCCCTCTCTAGGATATAAATGCAAGGAGGTTGTTTTAGTCACTGCTACACCCCCAGGGCCTTTGGTTGTATCTAGAACATACTACAATGCCGTAAGTATTGTTGAGTGGCCGGATGCGTTGGGGGGATAGAGCGCTGCTCTGCGAGATGCTCAGAAACAGAATTCCTTATGCCTGGGACCTGAAAGCATCTCTCCTCCAGGGTGGTGCAGAAAGGAGACAAGCTCTTGGAAAAGGGGTTAGCTGGAGAGCTCATTTTGTGATGGTTAATTTTCTAAGGCAACTTGAATGGGCTAAGCGATGTCTACATAGCTGGTACAACATTATTTTTGTGTCTGTGAGGGTGTTTCTGGAAGAGATTAGCCTTTGAATTGGTGGACTGAGTAAAGCAGATGGCCTTCCCTGATGTAGGTGGGCATCAGCCAATCCGTTGGGGGCCAGGATAGAACAAAAAGGCAGAGGAAGGGGGAACGCGTGATCTCTTCTCTATCTGAGCTGGGACATCTATCTTCTCCTCTCTTGTGCTTCTGCTTACCGGGCTGTCGGGCTTCAACTGAACTGCACCACTGGCTTTCCTGGTTCTGCAGCTTGCAGACAGCAGACTATGGAACATCTCGGCTTTGATAATCACGTGAGCCAATTCCGATGACAAATCTCTCTCTCTCTCTCTTCTCTCTCTTCTCTCTCTCTCTCTCTCTCTCTCTCTCTCCCCCCCACCCCGATATATCTCCTATTGGTCTTCTTTCTCTGAAGAACCCTAATACTAACACAGAATTGCTCTGCCCTTAAGTTTCTAGTGAATGAAGAGGTCAAATACGAATGCTAGGAGTTCACAAACCTCTCTCATGAAAATTTTTCACAAGTAAATTGCTTAATACCTTCCATATCAGTCCAGCTCCAAATTTTGTCAGTGTTAGTTCCTGAGCATCTCTTAGATTTATCCTGTTTCACCTCCACTGCCTGCCAAGTTAGCTGTCATTTGCTGCCTGGTGTCTACAGACACATTTCTCCCCCTACTTCCTCCCCCTACCTGCCCCCCCGCAATCAAATCTCTACCTAGAATTCACTCAGCTAATATTTATGGAGTTCTAACTACACACCAAGCACTCTTCTAGGTGTTGGGGATACACACTGAGCAGATCTATAGGGTTCCCGGCTGTGGAAGAGCTGCGGAGGGAGGGCAGACTTAAAACAAGGAGACCAGTAACTAAGATCATCTCACACTGGGATAAGTGGTCTGGGGAAGAAACTGGTTGGGGAAGGGGGTGGGGTGAGGCCCAACATTAATGAGGATGCTCATAGAAAGTTCTTGAAGAGGGTGACATCCAAGTGCTGCAGAATGGAGGCCGCCACGAGAATATGTGGGTTGAGGGGAGAAGGGAGGTTCTAAGCTGGGAATGCAGTGAGAGCAAGGCCGAGAGTGGGAGGAATGAGGACAGAAAGCAGGCAGAGAACAGACACCATGGTGGCGGAGAAGACGGACTTGGTTTTGTTTTGTTGTTTTTGTTTTAAATAGCAATGCTATTTAATTTTTTTAATTAATTAATTTAGTTTTTTAACATCTTTATTGGAGTATAATTGCTTTACAATGGTGTGTTAGTTTCTGCTGTATAACAAAGTGAATCAGCTATACATATACATATATCCCCGTATCCCCTCCCTCTTGCGTCTCCCTCCCTCCCACCTGAGAAGATGGACTCTATTCTAAGAACAAAAGGAAATTTTTAGCTCAGCAATGCCCACTCCCTCCCTCATCACCCCGGCCCTTCAACCATTAGGTGTTCCAGTGTTACCTCTCACCTGTTCTCTTAATTTCCACTCCCACCAGTTCCATCCCTTCAACCATTAGGTGTTCCAGTGTTACCTCTCACCTGTTCTCTTAATTTCCACTCCCACCAGTTCTCTCAGAGTACAGCTCATCTTTTGTTACCAAGAAATGGGCTGAGAACAGATACCGGTCCACTTGTCACAGAAACAGCCACCTCTGCATCTCAGCTGGCCACACTGGCACCTGGGTGGATGCACTTGCAAGCCCAGCTCAGATGGAGAAACAGAAGTCGGCACTCGGCTCCTCCAAACACAGTGAACTCAACCCTTCTAAGCGTGTTACTAACCTGTTCACATGAAATTAAGATCCCCCTCCCCTCCAGAATACCAGTGCTACCATGTGTTCCACAAAGAATGACCAAGAGAGCAAGTGGAATCTCAGCTAGGACTTCTCACACGTGTCTTGGGATCAGCTGTTCTCTCCATTCCCGCTGCCGCCACATTAACTGAGACTATCACCACTTCAAGCCTGAATTCAGAAACAGTCTCCAAGAATGCCTTCGTAGTACCAGCTGTGCTTAGGTGGCTCTCAAACTTTAGCGTGCATTCAACTCACCAGAGGGCTTGTTAAAACAATACCACTAGGCCACACCACCAGAGTTTCTGACTCAGTAGCCCTGGGGTGGGCTCAGCAAGCTCCCAGATAATGCTAATTTTTC